CCCTAGGAAAGAATTCGTTTTTCTTCATCAATATAATAATAATATGGTATTGAAATAGGCTTTTGTATTTATATGAGATGTAGTCTAGTTTAGTGAAAATGTTCAAACTGACTTGAATTAACTGTTACAGAAATTTTTAATTTCATTACAAAATATGCTATTACTCTAGTGTAGGAGCTGTTTTCATTGATTTGCTGTGATGATTAGTTCACCCAAACTGTAATGGATATAACTTACCCGTCTGAATTAATGACCGTGCTAGCAAACAGAAGTAGTCATTTTGTTTTATATTTTGTTAATACTATTAAATGAATTAGTTTTTTTAATTTGTTATCAATGGCCAATTTTTGAAGACAAAAAACGCGCTGTTTCTCATAGTGATTTGTTAAGTTTTATCGGAAAAATTTAGAGAATATTTTCGAATTCAACTTTCTCAAAAAGTATGAAAAGCACAACAATAGTTATTCTATAGTATCAAGATTTTATCCGCATTTTTGTGGTCATATGTTAAATGGATTACAATAAGTCAAGAGACTGGCATGGCTTCATTTTTATGGCATTATTTTAGTAATAACTCCACCATGGAGATCACAATCCGGTGATCTCTGTGCCAGTCGCAAGCGCGGATAAAGAAGGAGCGTTAGACGGAATGGGTGCAGATACCACTGCATGTAAAAGAAAAAAAGATGAAAGAAACCAACCATGAACGAAAAATATCGAAAATCATACCGACTCGGACGTCGTCCGAGTGAACAAGGTCCGCGTCCTCTGTCGAAGAACCAGAACAGAGTCGAAAAAGGCTTGTTAGCACAGCCACTTTGGGGCTAAAATGTGGAACTCACGTATATTCTTCAGTCTCATTATACTAATATGCAATATAAATAGTATAAAATTATGAATTTTTTAATTTTCTGACAGGCGCCATTATTTTTCGTCTTCTCGGTTGCTATTCGCTCAGTGTTTTTCATTTTTAACACTGCCTTTTTCTTTAATTTTACATTTTTTTTATTATAAGAAGCATTGAATTATATGGCGAATGAAGCTGTTATATATATATATATGTATATGTATATCCATTATTTTAAACCTGATCGCTAAGGTCTGTAATGGGAGGTATGTCTGTAATGTTCTCTTCCGTTGCTATGGTCGGTAATAGGGGCCTGTCTGTAAGGAGTGGGGAATGGGAGAGGGAGGTGGGCAGCCGCGAAACCTTGAACTTAAAACTTACACTCACTATTTTCTGCGAAAATATACGTGAGTTCCACAAAAATGGTTACTGAAACAACCATCCATACAACAACAACGACCAAACATGGCTCACAAAGACTGAAGATGACAAAAGACATTTTTAATGTTGGCACTTGGAATGTTCGAACGCTATGAGCAGTTGGAAAAATAGAACTATTCAGAAACGAAATGAAGCGAAACAAATACGATGTCATTGGCATCTAAGAAGTACGTTGAGCAGGAAAAGATGAAACATCAAATGGCGACTTCATCTGGTCAGGAGAAGATAATACACATACTAAAGGTATTGGAATGCTACTCACTAAAAAAGGAAGAAAATCACCTATGGGTTATAATCCTATCAACTCAAGGTTTAGCACGGCAAGATTCAATGCAACACCATTCAATATAACAATAATCAATGTGTATACTCCAACATCAGATGCATTAGAGGATGACATCGAGACATTCTATGACAATTTAGAAGATGCAGTGGCACGAACATCCAAAAAAGATATCCTTATCAAAACTGCTCATTGGAATGCAAAGGTGGGAAATGAAAAATACAGACTGGGAATCTGTCATGGGTAGATATGGTTATGGCCAAAGAAACGAACGTGGTGAACAACTACTAAAGTTTGCAAAATGACACAGCTTATTCATTTATAACTCAAGATTTCAACAAAAATCAAATTGAAAATGGACATGGGAGTCACCGGATGGCTCGCACAAGAACATGATCGACTTAATCATCATACAGAAACGTTGGAACACATCCATCATCAATTGTAGAACGTTTCAAGGTGCGGATATAAGCTCCGACCATTCCTTAGTTTTGTGCAATATCAAACTAAGATTGAAGAATCTGTCTAATAAATCAAGATACAATCATCGACCTGACACGAACCAACTCAAAGATCAGACAACAAGACAATCCTACCAATCAAAATTAGAAAACAGCTTAAAAAGCATCTGCTCAATCTACAGTCTCGATGGCCATGCGCCACAGATTGAAAAAGCGGTGAAAGAAGCATTACGGGCGAGCATAACTATCAAAAAAACAGTCAAGAAGTCCTGGATTTCTGTTGAAACACTCAATCTAGCGGACGAAAAACGAAAAGCAAAATAATTAAAACATCTTTCAACAAGCGATAATAACACATACAAAGACCTCTGCAATAAGGTGAATAGACCGACAAGACAAGGACAAATGGGTACAAGACCAATGTGAAGAAATTCAAAAAAGATTACAAGTTGGTAACAACAAGCAAGCATACAACTTGGTGAAGATGTTAAAAAGGAAATACATACCAAAATTAACTCTTATAAGAAATCAAGATCGCACAATGATACAATCAAAAGAGGGCATAAATCAATGGTGGACACAATATTGCAGTACTCTATATCAAGACACAGGAGTTGGGGGAAAATAGTGAAAAAACTGGAACATATAACTCCTTCCTCGGAAGACAATTCAAACGACATACTATTTGGCGAAGTAGAAGACGCAATAATCAAACTCATGAAGAACAAAAGTCCAGGAACCGACGAAATCCCAGCCGAAATGCTTCAAGCTGGAGGTGAACAACTGGTACACAAAATTCACGAACTGTACAATAGAGCATGGAAAGAGGAAATAATTTCGGAACAATGGGGAAGATCAATATTAGTGCCCATCCCCAAGAAAGGAGACCTCAGTGGATGCTCAAATTACAGAACAATACCTCTCATAAACCACACGGGAAAAGTTTTGTTAATGGTACTGTTAAACAGGCTCAAGCACCATCTGGACCCATATCTGTCAGAAGAACAGGCAGGATTCAGAAAAGACAGAAGTAAAGTTCACCAAACTTTGATACTCAGACTACTAGCAGAAAAGGTAAAATGAAACGGCAAGAAGATTTACAACTGTTTCATCGACTTTTAAAAAGCATTCGACACAATCAAACACAAGGTGATATGAGCTGTTCTAAGGTCGTACGATGTTGAAAACAAGGTAGTCACATTACTAGAAAAAAATCTATGGAAAATCTGGATCAGCAGTTCGAATATGCACAGATATCGGTGAATGGTTTCAAACAAGTGTTGGAACCAGACAAGGTTATCCTTTGTCACTACTTCTGTTCATCGCATATTTGGAGAGAATAATGGACAAAATAACATCAAAAGAAAAGGAAGTTAGTGTCAGTGGAACATCTATCAGCAATTTAAGATTCGCTGACGACGTTGATCTTTTGAAAGAAAACTGTACCTCACTTCATGAACAAATCGAACAACTAACAAAAGCAGCCGAAGAAGCAGGATTGGCGGTAAACACAAATAAAACAAAAATGAGGGTGTTTAGTGACAAGCACATTGACAAACAAGTGAACATAAGCGGCAAAAACATTGAAAACATCGATGAGTTCGAATATCTTGGAAGTTTGCTAACTTGGAATAACAACTGTTCAAAAGAAATCAAAAGAAGAATCAATAAAGCAATCGGAATAATGTCAAGCCTGAAGCATATATGGAGTACAAAGAAATTGAAAGTCGAAAGCAAATTAAAGCTTCTAAATACTTGCGTCTTCAGCATACTGTTATATGCTTCAGAAACATGGACTCTGAAAGAAGCTGACAAAAAGAAACTGTTGGCATTCGAAATAACCTAATGCAAGAAGATTTGTTTCTCCATATCCATATTCTTTTCTCATATTTTCAAACAGTTGTTGTAAATCTGGTTTGTTCTCATTACATAATTTTATTTTAATGATACATCTTTTATCTTTGTCATAAGAAATACTAACAAGTCGAAAAATAGAGCCGACCATAAATAATATATTCTTATTATCATCTTGATCATAATCTAAGTTGATATTTGCAAAACGTATTGAAATATCTTCTCCAGGATCAGCATCAATATCGAATAATACTTTTTGCATGTTATTTGAAGGAGTCGTTTCTTCTAAATCATTGATGACTGTTTCTCTATCAGTACTTGTTAATAAAAATGAATTGACAGAAATTAATTTTCCAGTGAACTTTTTCAAGTAATTCAATTGTTTTTTTGACATTAATTGACCTTTATATAATCGAACTGGTGATTGATATTGATTGTATCTTAATTGATGATAAATATCTCGAATAAATGAACGAAATAGATAGAGTATATCAATGTTTTCTAATTGAAAAGCTTTGTTTAATATTTTCTGTAAAAATGGTCTATGAATGTACCATTGTACTGCTGCATTAGATGAATAATTTTGTTGAAATTCTCGAAGAAGAGCTAGATGATTTCTATTACCCTTGTATTCTTTCTTACAAAGATAAAAAAGTTCATTTATATCTTCTCCATTAGATCGTATTCGAAGTAAAATATCGATAAGAGTTTGAAAATAAATGCAAGATTCATCAAGTTTTTTTGTCGGTAGATTTATTTCATCGTCAACATTCAATGGTTTAATTGATAACGGTTCTTCTATTTTCATTCGTATCTTCTGATCGACTTCAATTCGAGTAAGAATTTCGTCAAATTGATTAGTTATGGCTCTAATCTGCAATAATTATACAATTACAAGAAAATTTCATTAGAAATCTATAACCTTAGGAAACTGTTTACTCCATTGCTTGTTTTTGTTTTCATTAGAACAATAAATATAAATAGAAGATATTTGACAAAGATTATGAATAGTTGGTATTAGTTCACGACTAAATTGATCATTAACGATTAAAACAGAACGATCTTCTTTTGACATTGTTTGAATGTATTGTTGACATTCATCAATATGTTCGAATATTTTCAAATAATTAATAATTGCACGTAATTTATGTTCATTATTTTGATTTTTCTCATTTTTGTTAACTTCATTCCTAATCCACAGAAGACTAAATATTTCAAGATGATCATCATGTAATGTAGATTTCTCGTGAAGTTGTTCAGTTTTTTCCATTATTGTCAGAATTTCAAATTGTTAACTCTTTTTTAGTTTCTATTTTGTTGTTTAATGCAAAATTCACTATGCTTTTAATCTTCACTTGCATTATTGTTGATCTTGCTCTAATTGTTTCATGTCATTTGTCGATGATGAAAAAAATAGTAGAGAGAGTGTTTGTGTGTATGTCAACAACAAGCAAAATCGAACTGGTTTACAGCATAATTTCGTTTTTTTTTCTGCAGCTCCACTTAGTTGTAAAGTAATGCTTTTTATGAAACAAGAATTCAAAAGTGTCCAGGCTTTTGAGATGCATTCATCATTCCTATTATGTATTTCTTTGTGCACTTTGAATTCCATACATCAAAAAAAAACATCGTAGACATACACTGTTTTCAAGATAAATGACTAGTATTGAAACAATATTAACAATTTTATCGTCCAATTATATAAGAAAACGTATCGAAACTTTTCTTTTGATAGAGTTGATATTTTCTCTACTTTTAGATAAAAAAATGGTAAAATGTTCTTCTTTCGTAATTACGTATGATGAAAAGAATATGTTTTAGATCTGATTATCAAACAATGTTATCATAAGCTTTGACAATTATTCTGCTTGATAGTTTCTTTGTTTAATGAATAGTTAACTAATTTTAATGATAATATAGTACATAGATCTCTATTTTGTAAATCATTGATACTAACTTATGTTGACATTTCCAATAACAATCGAATTGGCATAATTTTTTATGTGTGGATTATCTTCATGTAAAAGTAGCACTTCGATCATCGAATAAATCCGACCATATATATTAATATCAATATGTTTCTAAGTCATTTTTAGTTACTGGGTGTTCTGGCAAATTCTTCTGAGATAGGAGATGTGATAAGAACAAGCTTTGCAAAACATATTATCTGGAAACAACAATCATGCATTTGAAAATAGATGAGCTATGTAAATCTTTTAGTAAGGCGTATTAGTTCCAGTAATATGTTGTTTTGAGCTGTGTAAAAATGAATAAGTTATTTCAGAATACTTTTGTTAAACTTTTCCAATGTCTTTTTGATAGAGTACAATGTGACCATAGATTTAATTATTCCAAAAATCAAATGGGAAATCTTATGGAAACTATATTGAGATGAATAATTAAGTATTGAATAATTGGATTGATCGATTAAACAAAGATATATTTGTTTTATGCGATCGATAAGAAATAAAACCATATGTTAACATTCTCTATGACATCAACACAAATAAGTGCTGTGGAACTATTGATGATATGTTGATAATTTATATCAAGTCCTTATTAAATAAAGACAAATATCAAATCGTTTTCATCGATTTATATGGCGTGGAGAATCTGTGACATTTCCATTTTCTTCTATTTGTAACACACTAACTGAGTTGATATTCTATTTATAAACTTGACATTATTTTGTTACTGTTATTATTCATTATTCACATAAACATCTATAATTAAGATTTGAAAATATATTAAGAAGACCAACATATCCTGTTAAGACTTAATTGAAAAGTTTTAAATAACAACAAATATTGGACGAGTTTTATAGCAAATCTCGTCAATAATGATAGTTAAGTTATAAAGCGTCGCTTGTTTGAAACATTGCATGAAAAATGAGATGAAAAAGAATCTACGATCGTTATTATTCAGTCTGCCAAAAAGTTTCTTCTTCGAGGTTACTTATCGGTTCAATGTAGTATAATTATTATTACTAAGAAAGATAATCAAGTGTTTTTTGTTTAAGCTGACGACAAGTTATGAATCTATGGTATTGTATATAAGACAATAAAAGAAAAAAATATAGGAAAGATAGTATAGAAAGAGACGATATTGTATGAAAAACTTCATATATTAATGATAATTTATCTTCTTTTTCCGTTCTATCAATTGCCAAAAAAATCAATGACAAATCGTCCATATTTACTTTTCTTGGCTTCTGCATTTACTTTTAATAAATTCTTGTCACAGATCTAAGTGTTTAATTGATGAATGTATGTTATTCAATAAGATATGTTTGACTATTTACCTAGATATCGTTTCTTTAATAGAAGTCGAATTTCACATATTTGAACAACTTCAGATTTCTTTCATCATTTTGTTCATTTCACTAAAACGGTCAATATATCTATACACAATTGCCTAATATAATAGTCAAAACAAACAACATAGCGTAATCATAATGGACATGTGCAAGACAATTAGATTTTAATTTCGAACTGTTATACATATATAACTTTTCTGTTTCTAATAGATATTAATAGTTTTATTTTGTTGTCAACTTAAAGAAATACATTTCGATTCTGTCTATAGTTTAGTTTTATTGAATTGAAATTTTCTAAAAATATTTTTCTTATCTATCCAATGTCTTTGAATTAGTCATGATTATAAAAATCTATAAAATGTATTGATTCAAGCCCAATTAAGATCTAGATCGTTATGAATATTATATAACTGATATCGATTGACTAGTTCAAAGTTTTTTGGTCGACCTTGTGGATAAAGCCATTTTTCTAAATCATTCAATCTTCCAAGATATTCAATAGCATGAGCAGCCGATTTAACAACTTTTTCGTATGCAAATGGATTGATATTTCTAATTCTATCACATTGTTGATGATAACATGGATCATAAGCAGCGTTGGCTATTCCACCATTTCCTGTTCCTAATACTGTTGCATATTGATCTCGTTCATTAGCCGATTTAATTCCTCCAGCTCCTGTATTAACTCCACCGACTGCTATACCTGCAGCGAGAAATGGAACATAATCACTTCCGCCTCCAAGTGAAGAATTACTCCAAGGAAGTTTTTGTTTATTAAACCATTGACGAAAAAGATCCGTAATTCTACGAGTACCATTTAGAGCTGTTTCTGGTGTTGTCAATGGAACTGTTGAACTATCATGAATACCAAAACGATAGTTAGGACCAGCTAACATATCATAATTTAAATTGACTAGGTAATCTTGTAAACGTTCACCGACAATGTTAGTACTTGGTAAGAGAGCCTGTTCAACATGATATCTAGCACCAATAAGACCAAGTTCTTCAGCACCCCACCAACAAAATCGAATGCGATATTGATATGTGGAATATTGCAAAGAAGATGTTTGAAATAAACGAGCTAAACTAAGAGCTAAAACCAAAATACCAACAGTACCACTACCTAAATAAAAATAAAACGAATGATTAATCTATTGATTGATCAATACTTTCTAACCATTATCATTGATCCCACTTCCTGCTGGTACTCCATCACTATGAGCACCAACGACAACTGTTTTAGTTTTATCTCCTGTTTGTGTATCAGCACAAATATTTCCAATACCATTTGTGTCACTAACATTAATACCCATAATTACACTGGCATTGTCCGCACCATTGACCAACTGCATTCCAAGATTATACGATAAGAAATAGGCTGGAATAGTGGTATTCAAATTATTTCTCACTCCCTGTATTGGATTAAAACCATCTGGTGATGTTCCATCATTGTAAATGAGTAATCCTTTCACTTGATACTTTTCAGCTAATACAGACTTCTGTGCATATGTACAATTACCACGTTTGACCAAAGCTACTGAATTGACTACGACTACATTGGTCCAATCAGTATCTTGACAACCTAAATTTGGAATAGCGACGACTCGAACGAATGTATCAAAATTAGCGCCCGCTGAAAACAAAATGTGAGTAAAATTTGTCAAATAAACATGGTTCGTTGTTATTCCATTGATTCTTGTTTGTAATTGTGGTGTTCCTCGAATAATATGATTTCGAACTGTGAAATACTGATGTTGAATCTTGAAATTAGTATTTTGTTTGAGTACACTAGTTATATAGTCGAGTGTATCATTAAATCCACCAGTTGCTATTGCACGTGTTCCATTATTTCGATCAGCAATCACTTGAAGTTGTTCTAAATGTTTCATTAGATCCTCAATTTTGATTTGGTCAACAAATGATATTGCTTCATTATTATGGCGAGAACTTGAATTCTTCGAATCTAGACGGTTAATAACAACACCTAATATGGCTGCTGTCAGAGCAATCGTTGTGATTGTAAAGAAAATAAGTAATCCAAAAAAATAATATACCAATCTAGTAACCACAACAAGCTTTGTCTCATTGCTATCTGATATTTTATTCATCTTGAACAAGAAATCGAAAAGTAGACTTGTACTAGGATGTAATAAATTGATAAATGCTTAGAGATCATAAATAAAAAAACGAATGTTTTATTTTGAAAACGATAAAGAATATTTTATTATTCTGCTACTGATAGTGAATTATACCATTATTGTTGAAGAAAGACAGTAAAAGTCAACTTGTTTGATAGTGACAAACAATTATTGTTATTATTATTATTCAATGTTTGAGTGTAAGAATTTGTATTACTTGAGTTTAATTCAAACAGAATCTTAAGTTTAACATTAAAATAACCATGATTTAATCATATATTTTTAAAGATATCTTTAAAATCTTTCTATCATCAAATGAAAATAATTCAGAATTCTTATTAATGATAACTGTCTTCTATTATAAATCAACTCAACTTTTAGTGCCCTTCTTCTTCAACAATAAAACTATACTTTTGATAAGAATAGTTAAAAGTGTGATTGAAGAAGAAATCAACAATTTCAAAAGCTTTCTTTATGCTTTTCGAAATGAAACGTTTTTTCTGTTGTTGATTATAAATAGGAATATTTATGAGTGTTCGATAAGAAAAACTTTGCTCTTGCTAAAAGTAGAGTATCATCAAGAGATTCACTCATGTTCCTACAGATGAAGTATACGTCTTACTAAAGATTTTATTTACAAAGTGAAAATACAATCAAGTATGAATAAATAATCAATAACCAATGAATTCAATATTTCACATAAAAATACAACTTTAATCAATATGAAATAATATTTATTATTCAAATTGCGCTGTTCCTATACACACAGTAGTAACACTTTTAACTCTTTATGCATATATAGAAAAGAATACAGCCATTATATATATATGTATATATACGTAATGACTGAATCGTTAAACTGCGATTTTGACTTTAATGTTGATCAGATTTAAAAACCTGCTTGTAAAAATTTTCATTTTGAATATACACTAAATTATTTGAAATCGAATTGATGATTATGAAAGATCTATACCAAAAAATAATATATTGTCAATATTTAAATATAGTACACTAAAAAGAACTTTCGATTGTCAAAAAAAGCTAAACTTTAAATTTCGATAAACCGAATATATTAGTTTCGGACTCTTCCATGCCGATTACTTTTGATCAAATTTCTTTTGTTCTGAGTATCATTTTATTTTAAACAAAACCAATATCTTTCTCATCATCGAACAAAGTAATTGTTTGTAAAATCCATGCGTCTCTTTTTAACCTGAAAATCTTATATTCACAGAATACTTTGTATATTGTTCAATTTTCAGAAAGAAAAGAATAATCTTTTTTTGCAAAAAAATTCGTTATAACAATCAGAAGATAGATTTACCAAAGTTATTCAGAATACTCTGTTTTATTGAGACAACTATTTACGTTGACTTTAATTTGTTATTTTTTTTTAGTCCTTTGTTGTACATGTCAAAATCAAAAAATAAAGTTTTTCTAATCGATTTAGGTAAACGAAGATAAAGTTCTGATGTGATTGGCCAGAAAACGGATGTTCGTTGACGATATTGATGATATTCTAATTGATTCCCAAAACGTTTATTATTACTAATTTCTGATGCTAATGTAGCTTCAAATAGCATAACCGAAAGAGTAAATAAGGGACTGATCTGTGGCAAAATTATCATAAAAAAATTATGTCGATATAAAGGATGATGAAAAAATAGATTGAGAGCTGTAATCGATAATCCTAACCAACAAAAAACTTCACCACAATGATTTGGATTTCGACAATAGTTCCACATTGAACCAAGATGATAATATATCTTTTTTCTAGCTATTTTTCCTTTCAATTTGTTTCGATCAGCCAATGATTCCATGAGAAATCCACAAATCCAAAAAGTGAATCCGATTAAATCGAAAATGTTGAAATTGACATCTGCTATTGGGAAAACATGAAGTAATGTGACTGGTAAACAACAAATAACTGACCAGAATGCATGTGGACATAACCAAAAACCAATTATACTTATTCGTCCATATTTCTTTGCTAAGTCATCAATACGAGTGTCTATTGGACCAAGAATAAACATACGATAGACTAAAAATCCGCCTAATCGCAACGACCATAGAATAACGCATAATGTTACCCATATTTGACGAAACTGTAATCTTTCAATTTGTGTCTGCCACGTATAAAATAGCGACCAACTTATACCAGTTATGAATTCAATCAAACCAGTAAAGTTATCCATCATACGAAAATACGAACTTGGTGTATTGATAAACAATTGCATTATAAATGAAGGAATAAATATACATAGTAAATTAGGATATAAATCATAGAAGATATTGAGCGAGAAATATGAAAACATTTTTGGATTGTGTAGATAAATTATAAATTTTATATATATCGACTAGCAAATATCTATTGGTCGAACACACAACGATTACTACGATGAGAACAATGAACCAGCAATAGATGTCTCATGAGACGAATCAACACAGATAACAAGTCGTGAAAGATATAGACTTTTCCATATTTATTTGTGTTTCTATCAATGTTTATCTACTCAAAGAAAGTAACTTTGATTTATGTCTGCAATTAACATACAATCAAATTGTATTTTCTGTGAAGATCACAAACGCAATAATGTTTTGTTTTTTGATAAATATCGTACTTTAATATATTGGCAGAACCAGAAAAAAATCCTAGGAAGAGTTGAGCTTCCTCTAGACCACCCCTGATTCCGCCACTACTTTAATAAGATAGTATTCATCAATATTTATGTTTAATGGAACATTGTTTCCATTCATCAAACAATAGAGTCAGCAATAATTTGGATGTTAAAAAGATTATTAGCGATCGTTATACTTCATATTGTTCAAAGATGATACTGAACAATAGTATATTGAATCTGTGCACATTCTTTATTGAAACAGAAGACTAATTAGAATTCTGCATGACTATTAAGCTTAACTAACTGATGTATGGAAAGTGATCACCCACTGATAATCAGATCTAGTTGCTTTAAAAAGAAAAATAATATTGTCTTATAATGGAAAAAAAAATGATTTTGTTAGAAAATGGCATGGTTTTTATAAGAAGTTTTAATCTTTTGAAGTGTTACCAGACTGAAATTATCATACGAAGTATTTAAGAGAGTGTCCATGAGGCCATCAAGCATTCGCAGCACTCGTCAAAATTTAAATTTTTGATTTTTTAAGTGCATTCGAAAGGACAATGTCTAAAACTAATAACCCTAAATTTTTAGCTCATTTGGACTTTTTATAGTAAAGTTAGCCTGGATCGACTTTTAGCACCCTCTACCTACCCTATGAAGTAAATAATGGAGAAATGGTCATTAAAATGCATTATTATCCGTAGCTAGACCATTTCGTCCGTTAAAATGCACTATTTTTATTGAATAACGGTAAAGAAGCCGTTAAAATGCGTTATGACTCAAAAATGGAGCATTTTGACCATTTTCATAATCACGAACTTTGAGTTTTTGAGTTGCGAATTAATTTAAATAATACTCATAGTTTTTAAATATCATATGAATTACTAGTATTTGCTAATAAAACATAAATTTTTACATAGTCCATAATATTCTTCGAGATTATGCACTAACAATTGATTGAAAGTCTTTGATTCTAATGAAGACATAACAAACAACGCTCAAAAAACTGTTAGCTTTTGTACGGTTTTCAATAATAAAAATCGTTAACTGTCGGATCAGAAAAGATCTTAATCTTCATAACACTACTGAATTAAAATCTTTTTCCTTGGAGATAGATTTCTCTATTTGAAAAAGATCAGTATTTTTTAGCGATGTTGAATTTCTTTCGTCTCTATTAAGATCTCCCCCTCAAAAATCGATCTCAGCCCTGGCTCGTTCGAATCACATGAAATTTTCAGGATAGGTTGGGGATGTAATGGAGAACCTGTGATAAAATTTTTAGCTCGATCCCACGACGTTTCACAGAGATATGGGCCAACCAAGGGTCAAAAATAGCTCATTTGGCAACCCAAATTTCTTAGTTCAGGCTCGTCAGATATATTAAAATTTTTTTTTGTTTGAAAGAGCATGTCAGGATGCAGGACATGAAAGAGCCCGTTTTTTTAATACTTACTTTTTTAGCGGAAAAAAGGAATCACAAGTTCAATGACTCAAAACACTCCCAAAAAATGAGTGTCTAATTATATAAGTGTCTATACATATAACAAAAACAAAGCTTATTATAGAAAAAGGATTCTTTTATGCCCTGCATCTTAACATGCTCTTTCAAACAAAAAAAAAATATAAATATATCGGATGAGCCTGGACCAAGAAATTTGGGATGTGCGTTCGAAAAAGTGTCAACTGAGAAAAACCGAAAATCATTCTCTGATTTCTATGAAAAAAGTATATTTTTCAAGCAGAAGATGACGAAAATTATCAAAAAACAACGAGATGTCAAAGAATAAATCATGTTGTTTCTGAAAGAGCAGACATCGGGCTATCTTTCCATGCATTTATCTCAATTTCAGAATTTCTGACAAAAAAGTGAATTTTCTGAGGAAGAAGGCCTTAAATGACCGGCGTACTACGCACAAAAGGCCTAACGCCACGGCTGCATTTGTGACTGGCAAGAAATGAAAGTTATCTAAAGCGACGAGGTACGTTGTCATGTCAAAGCTATAACGAAGATGATTCAGAAGACAACTTTTCTCAATATTACAAGTAAAAATTGAATTTTAATCGCATTCTGAGAGCACTTAACAAAAATTGAACGTTTCATTGAGACAAAATTAAATCTTTAAAATTTAGAGACAGAATTACAACTCTTCAATAGAAAATACACATCAGCGAGCAAGATTAAAAGTCATTCCTTCCTGCGCCAATCAAGTCGTGGCCACTATTTTTCTTATTGTTGTATGGTTATTTGATAAGTTACCGTAGTTTTAAAAACAGAGTAGACACTGTTGACGTTTTTCTTGTCATTTATTTGTGACGAAATAATATAATCAATTCAGGACATATTCATATAACACTTTATAAGTATTTATACGATCCTTGTCTTTACGAATAATGTTTTGTAAACAAAACATTTTCAATTTTTTCTTAATGTACACAGTTGATCATAGAAAATACTCAAGAATACACATATAACTTGGTCGATTTAAGTTGTTCGATTTTTTCCGCAGCTTTTCATTAAATGAATATATGTTTCGTTAGTTTCTTATTAAGAAAGACGATAGTTCTTTTTATTACGTAGATAATTACTGCAACCGATGACACTGCATTTTGTACTGATATAACACACAGCTTTATATACAACATTAAGTGACACGATCAGCTATGACTATAATATTACGTCGTTTATTCTATTCAACTTTCTTTTTCGTAGAACCAGTATACATTGATCTTAACGGTCTTTCGAGTTATATATCTTGTTTTTGCTTTCAAGACTACCTATATACTCAAGTAGAATCAGGAGAAAGACGAATTTCCCAAAGCATGCGTAAAAACTTAGGATAAACAGTGAAGCTGAACGTACATTCAAGATTTTTAACTGCATATTTAAATATATCAAATATTTGATTTCACATGTTTAGATTTTTGTACAAATACAATATTTTCATCAATATTTATGTTATTCAAAGATATAGCGGTAGCGCAGAGGAAGCAGCTGAGAGAACGAGTGGCTATATATGTATTTATTGTTTATTGTTCACGCATTGAGGCGAAATAGTCAAGTAACACACATATCTGTATATTCACTAGTACTTTCACATAATTAGACGGAACGCACACGATTAATTCAAAGTAATCATCAGATTATTTTTATTTCTCTTTCATTCGCCATTCTCGCTTTTCTGATGATTTCGTCAATATAATGATCGGAAAACCGAATTGTATTTTTGATTATCAATTAATATTGATAATTAATGATTCCTGATATGTTTTTACGAACAAATCAGTCACAGTTTTAAATCAGAAGACATTATTATTCTGAGATAACTGGATATCCATCATCGTTGCAGAGATGTCCATGGCGGCGCTGCCACGCCGCTGCCGCTGCCGCGCCGCGGCCGCCACGGCGGCAGCGGCAGCGGCAGCGGCAGATTTTTTGAAAAATCGTCGCGGCAGCGGCAGCGGCGCGGTAGATTTTTAAAAGTATGGCAGCGGTAGCGGTGCGGCAGCGGCAATTTATCTACTTTGGCTGTCGCGGCGCGGCGCGGCAGCGGCTAAAACTTTCGAAAAATTTCTCAAATTTTTTCGAAT